TAAGAAGGTCACGTCACTGAGCACAGGTGGCCTCTAAATGATAGATAAGCATTACTCAGGACCCATCAACTAACTGTCTCATCTTCAACCAATGCACAGTCCTAGCCCAATGGGAATACTGACTCAAGCTGGGAGAGTCCATGCCCTCAGTGTTTGGCAGGAACAGAGAGTCACTTATTTGGCAGTCAGGCCGAGATTCAGAAATGAGCACATGTTCCTCAGACATGTTCTACAGGGCAGTGAATTCCACATATCAGGTAATTAATGGCTGAAATAGGGTTATGCAGGCTAGCCTGAGAAATTAAGAAAATAATAGTGTCAGATGAATGAAGGTACACTAGATTGAAGAAGTTGTTTTCTATCTTGACAGAAATTCAGACAATGACAAGTATTCTCTGTGGGAGCTTCTGAGTTCATGACATTTGAAAGAATTAGAAGTGAGTTGACTCTTTAAAAGTTGTTCTCTAGAAGAGGAAAACAGCAAGGGAAACAGAATCTATTGTCCATCTCCCTAAAGATTCACAGCTAGAACATCATCAAATGGGTTCCTCTGCCACATGGGTCCCAGCTTGCTCACTACCTGTTTACAAGCGACCATCTTGCAAGGAATGCCTGTGAAAGATAGTGGCGGTGAAAGCAGGCAACAGGAAAAGATGTTGAAAGGATAGGTAGATGACAGTATTAATACCTAAGGATATATATTTCTCCTCTTCAGTCTCCATGCCACTAAGAATTGACAGATTACGATTTTGTGAAGGAACCAGAACATTAAATATTCCCCAAATTTTACATAATAATTTATAAAGTTATTCTGTTCCTAACGTGAATGAGCTAATTTGGAAAAAAATTATCTGCCCAAGTATAATTAAGAAACAAGATGAAAAAAAGAAACAAGATGAAAAAAAAGAGTATTAGCGAAGCAACTAAGGCAAGTCTCAAATGCCTCTTTAATAAATTACGTTCCCTTAAGAGGCAATAGGCAATGAATTATAGCATTAAACTAAAGATAATGGATCTCTCCTTTTTAACTTTCATTGTTAATTTTTAGGAAAGTAAATCAATATCTAATAAATACTTTCTTCTAGGGCTGAGGAATGTTCTAAGTAGGAAGTCTTGTGTAAAATTTAATACTACTTATCAGGCATTCTTTACCAAAAAGAAACAAAATGTAGATCATAGTAAACACCATTAAGATGTGCTGCATTTTTCTTTTTTTAATTGAAAGTGTTCCTTTAAAAAAAAAAAGAGCAGTTTTAGGTTCACAGCAAAGTTAAGAGGAAGGTATGGACATTTCCCATATGGTCCCTGCCACATATGCACAGCTCCCCCATCATCAACATGCCTCACTGTCCCTGGAGTGGTACATTTGTTACAAAATAATGAACCTCCATTGACACGTCATCATTACACAAAGCCCATAGTGTACAGTAGGGTCCACTGTTGGTGTTGTATATTCTATGAATTTTGACAAATACAGAATGACATGTATCCACCATTTATAGTATCAAACACAGTAGTTTAATTCCCCCAAAAATCTTCCATGTTCTGCCAATTTATTCTTCTTTCCACCTGACCCCACCACCCACAGATTTTTAACTGTCTCCTTAATTTTGCCTTTTTCATGTATTAATAGCTGTAGTCATATAGTATGTAGCTTTTTCAGATTGCCTTATTTCACTTAGTACTGTAATATAAATTATCTTTTTATAAAGGCATTACAAAAGCTCCCTTGTGTATTGGTAGTGACAGACAGCGTGGAGACCCAGACTTGAGCACTGGTTTTGTCCCCTTGGGCCAGTCACTTACGTTTGCTAGGCCTTGGTCTTCTCATTTGTAAATTCGGCATAACATGTATAGCTTCCCTGATAACTTTGCCATGTTATGAAGATCAGGTTTCTTCTCTAGAAAAGTAAGGTAGCAATGCCTCATAGGGGTGTTGTAAAGATGAAATAGGTAATGTGCATGAAGAGCTTAGCACTGTGCATGGAACATATTCCACGTTCAATCGTTGCAGTTAACAATGTTATTTTATTATTACGTGTGCTGAATATTGTCCATCTGACCATCTGAAACTATTCTCTGCTCTTTTCCACTATTCTGTGCCTTTTTCCCCACTGTTCTGTGGGGCACAGTTTCGAAAGAATGGATCATCTGTGCTCCTTGCTCCTGAATTCTCCATGGATTCAGCCAGTGGAAAGCCCCAGAAGGAGATTAGAAGACAGGAGGAGGAAGAGATCGGATATTTATTCCCTGAGCCTCTTCTCTGTCAGGCTGTAGTTTGGTTGTGGCTGTACTTCTCTGTGAAGGTCAAAGATCTTGCTGAACCACCAACATTTTAGAAATGTTGATTTACCTTAACACTGCCCATATCTTGCTGAGTAATTTCTTAAATTATCCCTTTCCAGGTAATTTTAAAAGTTTCTCCTGTTTTCTGTCAGGAGGATACATGATGTTTGCCTTTCAAATTTATGTGTAAAACTATTATTACTTTTTATATTGTAAAGCAGACAAGGCATCATAAAATCAAGAACTATAAGTGACTGTATACAATCTCGCAAATTATTTCTTAAAATCCTTCTATATCTAACACTGGTCAGGATTCATAAAGGCCTACTTTGAGATTCAATTTTTAAAAAGTGAAAAAAATTCAGAAGATTCAAAAAAAGTTTTAAATATAATGAAAAGTTGTAAAATGTCTATAGAAAAGGTTGGTCAAATTTTTCCTCATTAAAAGTATACCCCGAAATGCAACAACAACAACAAAAAAACTCTGTATATTATTTTCAGCTTGATAGAACAAAGGATATTTTCTAAACAAAATGGAGTGAATGTTAGTAGTTGATGTTTTCTAGATGTGAGTCCCACTCTTATGCCTCTTTTCAGGACCTCCGAACAGTGGGACACAGACTAACCCAACGGGGAGACTTTTATAAACATAGTTCAAGGAAATTTGCATTTGCAGCATAAATTTTCACTCAAAATGAAAGATAAAGTGTATACAATCCACTGCCATGGTTACAATGGACTAACAATTTTACCTTCCGTAAAAGTTTTTTTCTGATTTTGTAAATATTAACAACTATGTAATTTCTCACGACAAATTTTCTCATGTTGTAATAAAAAACTAGTTCACACTAATGTCAAGTTTGAAAAAACAAACAAGAAAAACAGATAATTTATGAACATGTTGCTGTTTTTACCTTGGTGAATATCACCATATGAACAGAGGACACTCATACCAGGGGCATCTGTAAGAAAACTAAAACTTACTTTAGTTTTTGGTTGAGCTCCAGTTGACATTTGGCTTGGCACACCATCAAGATTCTGGATGTTTGCAGTTTTAGTTCTACAAATTCCTTTCTTCTAATGATTGTTCTCAGGATTACTCTCCACGTTTATAGAATCCTGTAAGAAAAAATTTTAAGGAGGTTTTTTTCATATATAAAGAACTACCCTTAGTCAATAATTCAAGTAAATTAATGACTGTTACATCAATAAAAAAATTTTTTAACTGCAATCATTTTGAAAATTGGCATGAAATGTAAGAATATTCTTAAATATTAATAATTTTTCCAAAGACATTTTTGCTTAGTGAGATCAGCCCCAGTAAAGCCTAAGGGCTTGACAATGTAACTTTATAAACTAAAAGTTATTATAAACTCTCAAGGTAAATTATAGAACTATATTAGCATTTTCAAAAACTTTAAAAAGCAAAACCAGATGTGTTTACATATTTAATCATTTATTTTTTAATTGACAAATTAAAATTGTATATATTTATGGTATACAACGTGATGTTTTAAAATATGTATATGTTGTAAAATGGCTAAACCAAGCTAATTAACATATGCATGACTTCAAATACTTTTTTTTGTGGTGAGAGCACTTAAAATTTACTCTCTTGGCAGTTTTCAAGTATGCAATATATTAGTATTGATTGTAGCCACCATGTTGTGCAGTACAACTCCTGAATTTGTTCCTCCTGCCCAACCAAAATTTTGTATCCTTTGATCACCAAAGGTGTTTTATTTTAGTTTTTTTTTTTTCATCATTATTTTCTTAAAGACAGGGTCTCACTCTGTCACCCAGGCTCGAGTGCAGTGGCATAATCATAACTCACTGAAGCCTTAAATTCCTGGGCTCCTGCTTCAACCTCCCCAGTAGCTGGGATTACAGGTGCTTGCCATTACACTCGGCTAATATTTTTTAGTTTTTGTAGAGACAGGGTCTTGCTATGTTTACCAGGATGGTCTTGAACTCCTGGCCTCAAGTGATCCTCCTGCCATGGCCTCCCAAAGCACTGAAATTATAGGAGCTAAGTCACCTTGCCTGCCTCCAAATGTGTTTTAAAAATTGAAATAATATTGAAAAATTGAAATAATAAAATGATGTTCATATAGAACCACAATAGTTTTTTAAGCCTTATGATTTCAGCCCATATGTTGTAATACTGGGAAACAATTTATAAGACTATATTTTTGAAGGTTAACTATGCAGGTAAAATTATTGAAAAATATTAATATATTAGTATAAAGAGAATCCTAAAGTTTCTAACTACAGTAAAAGTTCTTTTCAAGAAGGCTGGATAAATTTTTATCAAATACATGAAATAAGTTTGTCTTTACTGATTCTTCCCGTTGCTTGGAAGTCTTCCATATCTCTCTACGTCCAAGTTATCTGAAATCTCTACTGCAATGTTCTGTGTCAGCATACTCCATCTGGAGAAAGTATCAGTTCTGCAGAAGCAGGAAAGGTTGGAGATGTACTAATTTTGCTCATAGATTATCAGAGGTTGTTTTTGGTGGGGAGGAATCTAGAATATCAACTTGCACATGAATCTAGCACTACTAAATACTAGCTGCCTAACACTTAACTTAATTTCCTCTCAAATCTTCTTTTAAATTAAAAAAAAATTTTTTATTGGGGAACACAACACAGGGTGGGAAATGTCACCTTGGGTTATGGTATGTCCCGCCTCCCAGAGAATGTCCATTTGCATTCTAATCTTCCTGGGCTGCTTTATGGAAATTTTTCTTCTTCTTGGAGCTGCTCTTGCTGCCAGCAGCCTCTTCAGGTCCACTGCTGACTGGCTCCTCTTTGAAGAATTTCCTCTTTTCCTTGGAGACACTTCTGTTGCTTGCCTCTTTGGAGTCATTAACTGTTTCCTCCTTGAGTAAAGATTTTTTCTTCTTGGGAAGACTGGGGCTGCCAGCGGTCTCTTCAACATCACTACTCATCAACTCCTTGGAAAAAGATTTCTTTTTCTTGGGTTTGGAGAAAGAGATAGATAGGTCTTCCATTCCATTCTCCTGAGGAACCTCCTGGGGCTTTTTCTTTTTCTTCTTTTTCGGTTTTTCATTCGCCTCCTCACTCTCCTCTGGAGTACTACTGCTGTTTTCTGAAGATGCGAGGGCAAGTGCAGCCTGCCATTTCTTTACCTTCTTTGAGCATTTCTTCTCCTGTTTCTCCAGCTTCCTAGTAATCTCAGCAGCCACTTCCTCTGCCTGGTCAAAGTAAAGTGCTAAAAAGGCCTGAAGACCTCTGGTGCTCTAAATTTCCTCAAATCCTAATTGGCCTGTAAAACAATACTTTTTGACATTTACTCAACATTTCCTTGGGCCTGGCAGATTTGGCATCTGCCAGAGTGTGAGTACACTCAGGAGCATGCCAAGTCTAATGAGAATTTTTAAATGTGCTGCTTAAAAATTGTATTTCTCTTGCTTATGATGTTGCTCATGATGATAATATGATTATAGTAATTAATATTTTCTGATAGGTACTGCTGTGTACTTTATATACTTACCTCTTTTTGAAAGAATGTCCCAATTTGTTCTTATTTATAGAAATTTACTAGCTCAAAAATATATCTGGAAAGACTTTGAAGGACATTAAAGAGTATATATACAAACTCCAGCCCTTGAGAAAATGCCATGAGGAAACTAATGGGGCCATGTCTTATTTCAAGTACACAATAACTTTAAAAGGTATGAAAGTTCCTAGAGAAAAAAATAGCCACAAATTAGACCACGTTGAAAAGGCAGCCAGGAGAGCGGGTGATTTGGCGGGGGCCACTGGATTGCGTAATTAGTACTGCACTCTTCCGATTACTACTAGTGCCTATTTCTGCCAGCTGGTGTAGATAGTTTGACAGGTGCCTAAAGATACATTTGCTGTGGTCCCATTTGTAAATGAGGGTGATACTGGTACCAAGTTCTATAGGTTGTCCTCTACTGCAAGAAAGTCCCGTAAGTACAGCTCTCGTTGCTGTTGTCACAATACAGCAGCTCAGAGATAGTCCTCCTTTTCTTTGGGAAGTTGGGGACTATATCTTATTCAGGAAAAGCTAATATTCAATGACAGGATATTAAACTTAAGATCCTGTGTATGATACCTTCATGTATATTACCTTTTTCTTCCCAGCAACATTGTGAAGTGAGTTGTGATAGTCTAATTGTATAAAATAATTCCTAATGAGGATAAGTTGACTAGGATCACGTAGCAAGTGAGAGCTAAGATCTCTTGATTCTTCCCAACGATTTCTCTCCTCCGTCATATTTCTCTTTGTATCCTGGCCCAGGGCCACTTCCATGAGGGAGAATACTGTCTAACTCCCAGTAAGAGTTGGTTCCATAATAGACCCTCATTCAGCTGGTTAAAGGGCTTGGGATCCTGTTAACCCTGTAGATGACGGGTACCTGTGGAGACTGGAAAACGAAACTGCATCTGCAAGACGGACTTGACTACTGTGACCTGCAAGTATTCTAGAGGTCCCATGGTGCAGACACAATCCCTCACAGCACTTACTGAATGTATGTCAAGGGACTTTATATATCTATATGTAGATATAGATATATAAATATGTTTTGAAATAGTTTTACTCTCGTTGCCCAGGCTGGAGTGCAATGGCACAATCTCAGTTCACCACAACCTCTGCCTCCTGCCTCAGCCTGCTGAGTAGTTGGGATTACAGGCATGTGCCACCACGCCCAGCTAATTTTGTATTTTTAGTGGGGTTTCTCCATATTGGTCAGGCTGGTCTCGAATTCCCGAATTCAGGTGATCTGCCTAATCTTCCTGGGCTGCTTTATGGAAATTTTTCTTCTTCTTGGAGCTGCTCTTGCTGCCAGCAGCCTCTTCAGGTCCACTGCTGACCGGCTCCTCTTTGAAGAATTTCCTCTTTTCCTTGGAGACACTTCTGTTGCTTGCCTCTTTGGAGTCATTAACTGTTTCCTCCTTGAGTAAAGATTTTTTCTTCTTGGGAAGACTGGGGCTGCCAGCGGTCTCTTCAACATCACTACTCATCAACTCCTTGGAAAAAGATTTCTTTTTCTTGGGTTTGGAGAAAGAGATAGATAGGTCTTCCATTCCATTCTCCTGAGGAACCTCCTGGGGCTTTTGCTTTTTCTTCTTTTTGGGTTTTCATTTACCTCTTCACATTCCTCTGGAATATTCCCAAAGTGCTGGGATTACAGGCACGGGCCACTGCCGTTGTTAAGTGTATACTATGCAACAGTGAAAAGTATTATTTTTTCAAAATTGCATTTGCTGTGCTCTATTGCTGGTATATAGAAATACAACAGATTTGTCTTAACTGATGCTGTACCCATAAATACTTGTAAGCCTTCTTATTAATTTTATTAAATATTTTATTAATTTTAAGTATATACATAGTAAAATATGCTTCCGTTGGGAATTGTCTTTGTAATCTTATGTCTGGAACTAATGGCAGTTTTGTTTCCTTTCTATTCCTTGTACCTTTATTTTATTTTCCTATGACACTGGCTAGGACTTCCAGTCAATATTGACTTGTGCTGGTCAGAAGAGTACATCCTGATCTCATTACTGGTTTTAAAGAGAACGCTTTCCATATTTCTCCAAGTAAGCATAATGCAGTTTTCGGTTCTGTATTAATCAGGTATTAATAGTTCAATTTTATAATCAAAATTTTAAGAGAAATATGTTGAATTTTACCAAATGCTTTTTTCTATTAAGATGATCAGATTTTTCTCAATTTCTTAATCTATTAAATATATTCATTAATATTATAATGCTAAACCAACCATACATTCCTGAATTACATTATCAAAGTATCCTTCTAGTTTTTAAGATTGTTTATAACAAATGTTATAAACATTATAAGTAACATTTAAATGTTATATTCATTATGTTAAACATGCCCTTTACATAGATTTATCAATTAACTACAGTAATAGATTTATAATTATTATTACAATAATTATTACAATTATTAAACCATCCTTATGCTCCTGAGATCAACTGTGCCTGGTTGCAATAAGCAATTCCTTTCAATTCTATTGAATTTGGTTAGCTGGTGTTTTCTTTGGTATTTTTGCAGCCATATTCATGTTTGTCCTCTGTTAATTTTTCTATCAAGAGGATATGTTTCATAAATATGGAAGCTATGAATCCTTACAAAAAAGTTATATTTGTAACATATAACTAAGCACTTAGCACAGTAACTGAAACAGGGTGAACACCCAATACATATTTGTTAAATGATGACTTAATTGCTTATTTCCATGGCTTTCTCTGCCTGTTTATTCCCTAGGACCGTAAGTTTTAGTTGACTTTTATAGCCACCATACCAAGAGAGAAAAAGTAGTTAGTAATGCCAGTTGTGGCACTAGAGCTCTAGGTTCAAAGTCAGGTTCTGACACAAGTTGTGTGACTACAGACTAGTTGCTTTTTCTCTCTGTATCTAAGTTGCCTCCTCTGTAAAACTAGAAGTGGTAATTCTTTGTACTCTCTGGATTGTAAGGAGTTTATAAGGGTAAACCTCTTTTAAACATGTCTGGCACATTCTAAGTGATGAGTTAATATTAGCTATTATGTTAGTATATGACAGGTAAATTGATAAAATAATAATGAAAATGTAAAGATAGAGAACCGGGAGATAATACTTGCTGTGCCTGTGGGCTGTCCTGAGGATCATGTGATGTGAATTTTAAATGATGACAGTGGTTTGAAGTGTTGTTTTTAGAGCCATTACAAATGGGGAGCCCCAGAGGTCAAAAGAAGAGAACTGTTTTCTTCTTTGTCAAAAAAGTGACACAGCTAGAAAAATACTTAATTAGGTTTTCTTCCTTAGTAGAATTTTTCTCTTACATGTTAACCTCTTTTATATGATTTCAAATACATAGTTTTAAGAGTTTAATTTAATATCTTTGTACTGCAAAATAAGTGACAAGAATTTTCCATCAAACTTCATTGCTTCTTGGATATAATCTCTGATTTTACAAACATTTTCTTTTTCCTGGGTCTTTATCCATTGCTTACACTTTGTAGTTCATATACTACTCAAACAATACTTCTTCATTTGTTCCTTTCCCAGGCTCCTTCCCCCACACAAAAAAATTAGAAAATGCTATCCTTATGGTCATTCTGTGAAGTTGCTATGAATAGGTAATAGCCTATTACAGTCAATTTTACTGATATAATAAACATTGAATAGTTTATATATTCAACTGAGCAATGAAAGAAAATCAATTATGAATTACAGAAAGCCAATAATAAAGTTATCTTCCTAATCTTTGCCCAAATTTCACATGAAGAGAACTGAGGAAAAAACTTCTCAGTTAACATATTTCTATGCATGCAAATACAGCAAAGAATCAAATGGTGGACTGTCCAAGCCAGGAGAAATAAAGAGTTGATTCCTTTACTCATCCTGTTCTTTTCAGAATAAAAGAAAAAAACATAAAAATACAGATAGGTATCCCCTTTATTTAAAAAATTCTAGGACATTTCTAACATAATTATACAAATTTTAACTTTACATATTTAAAATTATAGCATGTCCTTTTAAAATTTCCTGATTTACAAAGAAGAAACTTACTCAAATGATTTGGAAACGAAAGGCCATCAAGTTTCTAGAGGAAAGCACATTTATAAAGAAATATCCATATTTTAAAACATTTGGAATACTATTAACAATCCATTAACTGACCATTAATATCCAATAGCCATAAGTAATGTAACATTATTTTTTGGTCCCAAATAAAAATGAAATGAGCTGAATGCCTGAGCATAGCTTATACTGAAAGTTGTCTTTGCCATTTATTCTTCAGGTAGATTTGTCCTGTATCTCAAAAAAGAAGTTTGTGTAATGAACCTTCAGAGAACATTCAGAACATGAAGTTTAAACACGTATCAAAGTTTTCCCCAGCTAAATCAATATACATTATAGTCTGCTATATACTCTACACACACACACACACAGACACACACACAATTTTTTTTGAGATGGGGTCTCCTCTCTCAGGCTGGAGGAGTGCAGTGACACAATCATAGCTCACTGAAACCTCAAACTCCTGGGCTCAAGCCATCCTCCAGCTTCAGTCTCCCAAGTAGCTGAGACCATAGGGTATGCCACCATGTCTGGTCAACTTTTTTTTTTTTTTTTTTTATTAAGTTTTGTAGCGATGAGGCCTCACTATGTTACCCAGGCTGATCTCAAACACCTGGCCTCACAGGATCTCTTGTCTCAGTCTCCTAAAGTCCTGGAATTACAACCATGAGTCACCACACCTGGCCCTGAGCTAACATAATTTTATTGAATTTATCTTTAACAATGTTTCTAATCTCAGATGTTCCTGTAACTGAGACTAATTTATTTCTCCTGCTGTATTAGCAAGAAAGACACCACATGATTCCACGTCTGAGAAATAAGAGGCCTTCCAGTTTTTTGTGCTTCCTAGTGCTGGACAAAAGATTTCTCCTTTTGATCACAGTAACTATCTCTTCAGTGCTTATATTTAGTGTAGTGAAAATAGGCTGCTGCCTAAGTTCATATCATGATTCCTCTGCTTAATATATAGGAAACCAGTAATAAAATTATCATTCTAATTTTTTGCCAAAATTTCATGTAAAGAGGGTAACTTGTGACTTCAGCCGATTACTTAACCTCCCAATGCCTTTGCCATCTCATTGGAATTAATGGGGATATTAATAGAATTTACTCATAGGGTTTTTATTCCTGTTTTATTTTTTGGCTCATATTTTATACAAAATATTGACAGAGCTTCAGGAAGCCAGAGATCTACCTGTGTTATGTACTTTATAAGAGCTCTTTCTGACGGGTTGAGTACTGCAAAGAAAAGAAGAAAAAAAAAAAAAAACAAAAAACAAAAAAAAAAACCAGAGACCGAACATAACAGACTAAGAAAGTTAGTGCCATATTGATTGAATAACCCAAATATCTCTTCCAAATCCCATGATGTGTTCTGTTGAAGATGCACAGAAATTAACAGAATAAAATATGAGATGTGAGAACACAGAATGTGTGTTCTGATGATGTCCAGTTCTACTTAAAAATTAAATATGCAACCAGATTTTGTAGTTTTATGCTTTTATTTTCACTTGTACATAGTTGATTTAGAAATCTGAATCTTGTTCCTGAACCCAATGGTGTTACAACAAAGTGTACCTTTGGAGCCCTCAATTCCTGTCTCTTCTCATTCATTCATTTATTGATACAGCCAGTCATTCATTCATATGCCAAGTATTGTCCCAGGACTGAGGAAACAAAAATAA